CGGGGCGTTACACATTAGGTGTTCAATCCAAGCATGCTAACATTAGGGTAGATGTTCCCCCTTTTCATCCAAACTTTAGGACCACTTTGCATGACAACGTTAGGGCCGAGTTTCCTTTAGACCTTCCGTGCGTCTCTCTTCTCATCTCAAAACAATTCTAACTCATCTAATAAATGCGATGAACGTTGTGCGCTACGAGCCTTAAGCTACATGGGGAATAATGAGTGAGGGGTCTCCTCTTGCTTATCTAGAGTGTTTAGTATACGTCCCGTTTGGGGGCGATATACGACGCATTCGCCTCCATGTCATAGTCTTTAGTGCAACGTGAATCACAAACCGAATTAATTCACTTCACTAAAAAACACAAACAAATTTCAAACCTTTTTCCTTCGTGATTAATCGGAAACCTTTTTGCAGAAAAGAGTTTTGTTAAGCTTCGGTTATACTGCAAACAAGCTTAGTCCCTAACTGTTGGAACAGAGGTTTAACCCTACTCGGTTAACACACTTAATCCGCCTGTGGTTTCGTGTCATCCCGAACTACGTTTGCTTTGATCTTTCATACTAGATGAAAGTACGTAGGCACAAGATGCGATGTCTTGGCGAGCAACCTTCCCCCCTTCTTTCCCGTAGTTAGCCGAACTAGGTTGACTTTAACTTTCCCATTGCACGAGGGAATACGTAGGCACAAAGCGACGATGCTCTGCCGAGTCTCTTTTCTTTATTTTTGTTCTGTGAGCCTTTAGCGTAGATAGTAAACACACCCTTAGATAGACAACAAGCATGGATCCCGTCGAGTACGATGGATGTGAGGGGTGCTAATACCTTCCCCTTGCGTAACCGACTCCCGAATCCAGGACTTGGTTGCGATGACCTTGTCTTTTCCCTTTTTCCTTAGGTTTTTACGATCGTTTCCTTTCCCTCTCTTTGGGATAAATAACGAAAGGTGGCGACTCTTCTATTTTCTGCCGGGTGTTTTTCGCATTTGCGACAGCTGGCGACTCCGCTGGGGACTGTGATGGTTCCCTATGCGAGTCACTCCTAGCGCTTGTCTATTGCGTCTTTGGGTGTTTACTTTTGTGCAGTTTTTGTTTTATGTACATTATTTGTTGTATATTACTGCATTTGCATTTTATTATCATATTATGTTGCTGCTGTGTTGTGGGTTGGGTTGTCCCATTGAGAGATAAGCCGAACCTGGGCTTGAGTATACACATAGGATTAGAGTGGAGATTAGGAGCTTGTGTGGTGTTTGGCTGCACAATAGCTCGCGTGAAATTCACATTCAGACGAGGTTTTTCTTCGAAAATATTCTATCCTGCGCGTCTGAAGCTGTTGAGGGAATATTGACTTAGAGAGACTGTCGACTCTGGAGACCGTTCATTTAGGAAGTCAGCTAAGTGAGGTCGCTTCGTTAGACTATGATGCCAAACCAGAAATGGTGAACGTATCATCGTTTCTTGAAAGTCTGTGACGCCGATAACCCGCATAGGATGCCGTACCTTTCAAGACTAGAACCCGCATGTGAGAGGGATGGGTTTTTGCAGGAAACCTGGCCTTCAACCAACCCTGGTTTTCTTGTCAATGCAGAATTTTGATCCTGAGTGTTTCATCCAGTGTGTTATCTCAGTGTTCTGATTAGAGTGGAGCTCTGGTTGAAATCAGTCAACGGCACAACAACAAATTTGAGCATTGGATACCTTGATCCCATGTGTGCATCTGCATAATCATTTTGCATTTAACATTGCATGTTTATGTATGTTACAGGTTCTCGTCTTTCCCTTGATTCTGGTACTGGTCTTCTGCAGAGATGGAAGTTAGCAGAAAGAGGATTGTTGTGTACAAGTTTCCGACACCTGAGTTGGGACCCTTATTTGGTCTGGTTTCCATGGCTGATCCTGGTGTTCTCGCAGCTTTCAGAGAACAGTATGGTGGAATTATGAAGTTTGTCCGTAAGCTCACGACTTATGAGCATGGAGCTATTCATACCCTGTTGCAATTTTATGATCCTCCGCTGAGATGCTTCACGTTTCCGGACTATGTGTTGGTTCTGACTTTGGAGGAACTTGCTTACATCTTAGGTATTCTGATTCTGAACAAAGTGATTTTCTTCAGCTCCGAGGAAGAACCTAATCTGGAGAAGTTGTCCGCCGCTCTTTATTTGAGTGCCTCTGACTTGGAAGATCATGTTATCAGTAGAAATGGAGTTTCCGGATTTACTTTGCCCTTCTTGGTCGACAAAGCCCAAGAATACGCTGAAAAGGGTTGTTGGGTGGTTTTCAGTGCTATCTTGGCTCTGTGTGTCTATGGAATTGTGTTGTTTCCCAATGTACCGAACTTTGTGGATTTTGATGCTTTTCATATCTTCGCTTCCAATAACCCCGTACCTACTCTTCTAGGAGACTTGTATCATTCAGTGCATTACAAGAACGAGAAAAGAAGAGGAAATATGGTTTCTTGTTGCGCACCGTTGTTGCATAAGTGGTTTGTTGATCACCTTCCTCGCTCTAGAGATTTTGTGGATTCCGTGAACTCATCTGAATGGTCGAAGAGGCTTATGGGTTTAACGGAGAAGAATATTGTCTGGTTCAATCGGGACTTGTTGGGTCGTGAGCTTATCTTTAGTTGTAGTAGCTTTCCTAATGTGCCCTTGATGGGGAGGAAAGGCGGTATCAACTATAATCTTTCTCTTGCTGTGAGACAATTCAGTTATGCTTTGAAAGGACCTCTGAAAGAAGAAGAAGTGCAGGAATCTCTGTACTTCACAGGTGTAGCTGATCCTTGTATCTCGGCCCGATTCATGGACGCTTGGGGTAAGATTCACAAGAAGGGAAAGCTTTCTTTGGGCAAAGGAGATTGTAGAGCCTATGATCCCTATTTGGATTGGATTCAGAAGAGGGTGGAAGAGGTACTGTTGTCGTTTCCTGTTGAAGCACCACTGTATCCCTTAGCCATTAAGCCGCCTACAACCGTCGATATCCTGAGATATACCAAGCTTTGGGCAGAGAAGGAAGACTTGCGCAAAGAGAATGAAGAGTTGAAGCAGGAAATCAATCAGCTGAAGCATGATAAGGGTGAAGCTGTGTATTTGGCCAAGACAAATGCATAACTGTTGACTAAGTTGAAGGAAGAACTTGTTGATCAGGTACAAGCAAGGAAACAAGTCGGTCTTGATCTGAAAAGCACTTGTGACATTCTGAAAAGTAAGAAGGAGGATTTAGATAGAGCCTATCTGAAGATATCCAAATTCAATGAGCAATGGAATGCTACTATGACAGCCAACAAGAATAGGGAGGACCAGCTTCGTGTTCAGGTCGATAAGCTGAAGGCGTAATTCAAGGCTAAGGAGAGAGAGGTATTGTTAGAAACGTTCCGTAGAAGTACGATCGAGCAGAAATACCAAGAGACTTTGTCAGCACTTGAAGAGTTCAAGATTCAGGCAGAGGTCAAGAAACCCAGGCTTGAGGACGCCTTTGGCGAAGATGCTTGGGAGGACCATTGCCATTATCTCTAGATGTGATACGCAAGAGGGATGTCCTCATTCGAGAGTTGATGTAATGGCAGTGTGTATGCTGTGCACGGGGTTGTTGGGCCTCATTGGGAGGATAATCAGGATGATATATTTTCTGTGAAAGATCTGAAGGGTGGTTTGCCGACTGAAGCGGACCGAAGGTTTAAACTGATTGAGGAGAAAATGAAATCGTTTAAGAATCATAACTCTTTGGGCCTGGATATGTCTGATCTTGGTCTGGTTCTTGGGGTCAGAATTCCTCCCAAATTCAAGGTGCCCGATTTTGATAAGTACAAAGGGACGACTTGCCCCAGAGTGCACATTCGGGCATACACTACAAGAACAAAAGGAGATTTACGACACTTGAGTTGCAATAGTTATCACAAAACCGTTCTTATTCTTGGATTGCGACGGTTGTCACGACAGTTAGGGTAAACTGTCGTAGATTTTTTGCGATAGTTATCAAAAAACCGTCCTTATTCCAGGACTACGACCGTTCTCGCGACGATTTGATCCAACCGTCGCAAATTTTTTAAGCATGTTGTATAAAATAATGCAACAATTACTAAAGAACCGCCCTCTTTTCACACTCGCGACAGTTAAAGTGAATTGTCGCAATTACTTTATCCAATCATAATCACTATTTTTTTTATTCCTTTAATTTTTCACTTTTTTTTTTCATTTTTATTTTCTAATCTTTTCAATTTAATTAATTAATTAAATAAATAATTATTATAATTATTATAATTTTTATGACAATGTAGTTTAATATTTTTGTCTAAAATAATAATAAAATATTTTCTATTTTATTATATAGATAGTTAATTTTTATTAAAATTAATTTTGGTAACAATAACCGACCTTGCTCAAATTTCTGAATCGTGTTCCACCTCCCGTCATGTTTTGATACCACCTTTTTAATTCATGTGGCTATGTTTCTAGCTTCTACTCCATTTTTAATTTTCTTTCAGAATCGTAAACCTTGTACTTTAACCAAAGAAACTGAAACCATATTCCATTTACCAAAAATTGCAAAATGACCGTGTTTTATCCAACCTCAGAATCGTAAAGTCATTCTTCTCTCATATCTCATGCACAAAGATACTCAGCCTATGTATGTTTTACTCGCACTTTTATATTTTGCATTTCTCTGAAAATGTTTGTTTCGATTTGGGGATTTAGGGTTTACTCTTTTTAATGCCCATGGAATAATTTATTGGTTTATTTTCTTTTGATTTTGGGGTTTAGGTTTTGTTCCTTTTATTCCCAAACTACTGGTACTACATATGTCTATTTCAGGAGGATTTTTTGGTTTAAGAGAAACGTTTCAGGCTATGATACTGATAGAAGTGGTGTAATGAATTTCAATGAACTCAAAGCTGGTCTAAGAAGATATGTGTAAAACCTTTTGTTTGATTTACTTTGAAAATAATGACCTATTGTTGCTTGTTTCTTTACTTCAATTTACATTGTCATCCATTTGTTTGTTTATGTATGTTGAGAGAAAGAAAGGGATTGATGATGAGAAGAGTTTGGTTGAGAAGAGGTTGAAGGAGTTTGAGTTTGCAATGGAGTCCATTTTACAGCACCTGGAAGAGAGTAACAATGTGGAAAGTGGTGAAGATTTTGTTCATGTGTTAAGGTTTGATGGAAATTTTGATTGGAAGAAGATTCACAGCCTTATTCTTAGGGAGCTTCGGAGACTTGAAGAAGGATTGCCCATCTATCCTATAGGCAGGAAATTCTTCAGCAAATACATCATCAACAAGTATCGTTCTATATGTGCTTGAAAAAATCTTTTTTTTAATTGTAATACGCTCAACAAAATATATCTTCTTATATGTTCTTGAAAATATGTTTATTTTTTTGGTTGTAATTCTATTAACAACAAGTATCTTTTATGTGCTTGAAAAGATGTTTATTTTTTTGTTGTAATTTGTTCATCAGATCATGGGAAGAGACATAAGCTTTTGTATTTGTTGGTTGTGCAACAAAAAGACATTTTTTTTGCCAATGCATATTATTAGTTATGTTTGAATTTTTTGTGTGTGTGTGGTTGTTCTTATGAGTAGAGTTTGTGCAGATAACTGTGTTGATCGGAGAGACTGATTCTGGCATTGGGGCTGATGGGTCAATTGTATGCACCCAACCTCGCAAGATTGCAGCCAAGTCATTGGCTCAAAGGGTACAGGAGGAAAGTAGTGGATGTTATGAAGAAAGTTCAATACAGTGTATTTCTACATTTTCATCGAGTCAGAAGTTTGATTCTAGGATATCATTCATGACAGATCACTGTTTATTGCAGCGGTACATGGGCGATAGAAATTTGTCTGGGGTGTCGTGCATTATAGTTGATGAGGCTCATGAAAGGAGCTTAAATACAGATCTACTATTGGCATAGATAAATAATTTACTATGTAAGAGGGTTGATTTGCGCCTTATCATTATGTCTTCTACAACTGATGCAAAACAGCTATCGTATTATTTCTATGGCTGTGAAGTTTTTCATGTAAATGGGGGAAACTTCCCAGTTGAGATGAGATATGTTCCTTCTAATTATGGAGATCATTCTGGCTCCGCTGCTGTGGAATCCTATGTTGTTGATGTTGTCAAAATGGCAACAGAGATTCACAAAATAGAGAAGGAAGGAACCATTCTTGCCTTTCTGACCTCACAGGTAGAAGTAGAATGGGCTTGTGAAAAGTTTAAAGTCCTATCTGCTGTTGTTAATCCTTAGTTGTTATCTTTGATGAATGTTCCATTGAAGTTTCAGTAGCAGCTCGCACTGCTTGTCTCTCAATGTTTAGCTTAATGTTAATTGGATTTTTGCAGCTCCTGCTAGGCTTCCAGGGTTCCATACCTGTGTTGGAAGTGGGAGAGAAAGATTGCTTCCAGAGTGGTACAGTGAGAAAGGTGACTTTGGTTTTCAACCCATCATTTTAATTCGGCATTATAACTGGATTGTTTTCAGAATAATTATTGGGTTATGTGTCAAGTTAAAGGAAGAGATAAGTAAATATAAGAATGGTCATTAACAATGGTTATCTGATATTGAATTGCAAATTAAACTGATGATTGCAGGGATACAGTTGTATCTCAATACAGAAATTGTAAGTGCATACCTTGCTGCAAAATTTCTGAAAAGTGCAAAAGGAGAACACTTCGATTACCAGACTTTGGTTATCGCAACAGGCTCGGCTGTAAGGGTTCTTGTTAATATTATAGATGTTCCACATTGCGTGTACATATTTCACATCCGTTTAGTGCAAACTAGTATTAATACTAATAATTTTGTTTCACAGGTTATAAAGTTGTCAGATTTCGGTGTAGAAGGAGCTGGTGCCAAAAATATATTTTACTCGAGGGAGGTTAATGATGCTGACGAATTGTACGAGGCAATCAAAGCAAAGAAGAATGGAAAAGTTGTGGTTGTCGGAGGAGGATACATTGGAGTTGAGTGCAGTTTTGAAACTCAATAATGTTGATGTTACCATGGTCTACCCAGAACCTTGGTGTAGTAAGTGGACATTTATAAATGTTTCTTGTTACATCTCTCACTCACATTGATTTGTGCATACTAAACTTTTAAACTAATCTTTTTAAAACCAATATTGCAGTGCCAAGACTTTTTACTTCTGAAATTGCTTCTTTCTATGAGGGATATTATGCCAATAAAGGTATCAATATCATTAAAGGGACAATTGCTATTGGATTCACTTCCAACTTCGATGGAGAGGTATGGTTGCATGTGATCTTGGAATAATGTCATGTAATGGTGTTTTAAAATTCTTAATCAAATTTAACTTGACTTTCATGCATCTGTCAGGTAAAAGAAGTCAAACTAAAGGATGGTAGGGTCCTGGAAGCAGATATTGTTGTTGCTGGTGTTGCAGGAAGGCCTCTAATATCCTTATTCAAAGGGCAAGTTGATGAGTAGAATGGTGGAATCAAGGTTAGTGATTCCATATCCAGAGGCTTGTATCAAGCTTTAGTAAACCCTTTATGTTGTGATTAATTAATCTTAATATCAATATCAATCAATGATAGCATTTATTGTGGTTGCAGACTGATTTCTTCTTCAAAACAAGTGTTCCTGATGTATATGTCGTTGGTGATGTTGCTACCTTCCCTTTGAAATTGTACAATGACGTGAGAAGAGTTGAACACGTTGATCATGCTCATAAATCAACTGAGCAGGCTGCAAAGGTAATCAACTTCCCTACAGATTTATGCTTCTCCAATTATGCACAACACATGTATCATTTTCCTTGATGTACCCCCTTGGTCCGGCACCTAGTTTTGAAATCACTTTGTTTCCTGATTTTGTTATAATATTTTTCATACAGGCCATCATTGCAGCAGATGCAGGAAAATCAGTTGAAGAGTATGATTACCTTCCATACTTCTATTCCCGTTCTTATGGAACACATTGCATACTATTTCATCCACCATCTCTATCTTTCTCTGCTTTTCTTGGGGTATGATATTTATTAGTCTTGTTGTCAACCGGTCCACTTTTTAAACAATAGAATGAAAGATTTACTCTGTTTATCATACAAAAATATCCGGACAACTATATGGAGACTTATTTCATTTCGCTCCATCTAATCCATCCCATTCTACCCCACCACTAAATACATAATTAAACATAGACTAATTTTTTGTATACCAACATCTTAATATTATGATGTGGTAAATATGCGCTTTACATTTAACTATTTCTGACATGCACAAATCTTTCCACTATCAATTAACACTGTTATTGGATAATGTTACAAGCTCTGAAGCTATGTTTGCAGATGTTTGCTACTTTTTTGTTGGAGCAGTTCAGGTAATGAATCATCTATCATGGCTTCTGGTTAGAATTCATTTATTTCTTTGGTCATATCAAATTATACATTGATGAAACTGATGCTGGTTTGTTTGCAACTCACATTTGTGTTCCTTGTTTTGCCGTGCCTACTATTAGGTTATTTGGGTCATGCTGCATACCTTATGGAACACCATGTTGATGCTGGCGAGGCCTTTTTTTTCTTCTATTCCAAGTAGGTGTCAGTGTGTGTATATCTGTGTTTTGCATTCCTTACAATGTCTCTACACTTCACATAAGCTTTGGTGTAATACTGTCCTTTGTCTATAGGTGGTGTATTTTGGCTAACTTTTCTCATTGCTAATATTTTCGCACTTATTGCAAGTAGGACTATGACAACAACTACATTTTCTTGCATAAAACAGTCAACTGCTCTTGGTTGTTTCCCGCGTCTTAAAAAAATTCACACATCTCAGAAGTTTATGGGTCAAATCTACATTCCTGTTATAAACTGGTTCCTGTTGGTTGTTTCTGTGGTGTTTGTCTGCTCTATATCCAACATTGATGAGATTGGAAATGTAAGTGATGCCATAAGTTTAGTGGGATTGACTATGTAGAATAGGTTCTTGCGAAACTTATGGTGCTGCTATTAATTGGAAAACACTGAAATTCACTCTTAATATTTCTCTTTGGATGCCTTTGACTATACTGGAAGAATAGTAATAATGGAGGCAAGACAGAGCCTTGTTTAAGAGGACCCAATTCTTTAGTTCTACCTTCAATATTGTTGTAATACATCATATATATTATTAACATAACATAAAAGAGTATTTGTTTTCAGCCTATTCCTTTGTCATCTTTCAAACATTGCTGAACTAGCGGTAATGATGATGACCACCATTTTAGTCACTCTCGTTATGCTTCTTATATGGCAGATGCACATCATCGTAGTGCTGAGTTTCCTGGTAGTATTCTTGGGTTTGGAGTTGGTTTTCTTTTCATCCGTTTTGTGGGGAATAACAGATGGAAGTTGGATTATATTGGTCTTTGCTGCAATAATGTTTTTTATAATGTTCGTCTGGAACTATGGAAGCAAGCTCAAGTATGAAACTGAAGTCAAGAAAAAGTTGTTGACGGATTTAATGCGAGAATTGGGCTGCAATCATGGGACAATACGAGCTCCTGGAATTGGTCTACTTTATAATGAGTTGGTCAAAGGAATTCCAGGAATTTTTGGGCATTTTCTAACTACACTTCCAGCAATACACTCCACGGTTATATTTGTGAGTATCAAGTTTGTTCCGGTTGCTATGGTGCCTCAAAATGAAAGGTTTCTATTTCGACGAGTCTGCCAGAGAAGCTATCATTTATTTCATTGTATTGTCAGGTAACAAGTGCTACAAGTCCATAATACTTCTTAGTAACATGCTAAAAATGCTATAGCTTCAAATAAATATCTCAAAGGAATAAGTTAGTGATGTAATATTGGGAAAATTTACAGATATATTAGCCACTCTTTTGGGTAGTCTGTTAGCTCATGAAAATACAGTATTTTTTATGAGACTATCATGTTTAGTAATTTTCTCAGTACTTTCCTTCTCATTAAAATATTTTGTTATCTTATACATCTGATCTGAACATTTATAATATCGACAGGTATGGTTACAAAGATGTTCACAAAGAAAATCACCAAGCTTTTGAACAGCTTTTAATGGAGAGTTTAGAGAAGTTTATACACTGTGAGGAAAGAAGCTCATTTGTTCCAGGTGATGATGAAACATGGTGGGTGAATAAGAGTTTGAAATCCTCAGAACCTCTCAAAGTTGACTAGCCACAAAAGACAACCAAGTAGGTTACTAAGAATCGTCAGAAGAATGTGCGTAAAATGAGTCTTGCTCAACTGGAAGCTTCTAGAATTGAGGGTAGTCAATGGGCATCAACTAGTCATATGTGTGATAACAAGGTAAGCTGCCCTTACCATAGAAGTGCTGTAGAAGGAGATGCTTCAAACTCTGTGGATAGCATAAGGACAAGTAACTATAGGGATATTGTTTATTGTGTGAATATCATGAAGATTGATAATTGTCATTAATGTAACCTACAATAGTTAGTATTCTGAATCCAATACTGAGTGCAGTTTTTTTTTAAAATATTTGCAACTTGCAGCGGTTCAAACCACCACAATATACCATAGATTTTTTTTTAAAATATTTGAAAATTGTGGCGGTTCAAATCGCCACAATATACCATAGATATTTTTTAAAAAATATTTGCAAC